CAACTGTGGTTAATTCTGACACAAGAGTGATATGTTCTTCAGTCCACAGCTAGATTAAATATATAGTTTCATAAATAAGCACGGATTGAGATTTAAATTGTATTTGTCGTTTCACTTAATTCTCCTTAATTAAATTAAACATTTTAATTAAACTTAATTAAAAATTTCAGAATGTTTAATTTTGTGCTAATAGTAAATAATCAAAACAATAATCAAAACCTAAGATGCTTGCAATTATCACAACATAATTTGTAATATTTTTTGATTAGATTTGATTATATTCAACTTTATTGTCATTGGACAGTACAAGTACAGTACCGCAAATTGCCGTTTGCATCCAACCAGAAGTGCAAAAGACCAGTGCAAAAAGATATGGAGTACAGTGTCAGGATGTGCAATTGACATGGATAAGAAAATGTGTATTCAGTTCAGCAGTGTAGTGAATTGCAAATGTGCAGAGGGCAATACAAGTGGAGAACATCTGTGCAAGTGGTAAATGGATAGTAGAAACAATAAGCATTGTGCAAAAGGCAAATATAATAATAGGCTAGCAGTGTGCAGGGCAAGAGGAGTAGCACAGGATGTATTGTCCAATTGGCAGATCAAGTAAATAAGTTAGCAGCTTGTAGACAAGAGGTAGCGATGGGGGTACAACAATACCATGTGCAAATGGCATATTAAATAAATAAAGTAGCAGTGTGAGTGCAAGGTTACCGAAGAGTTCAGTTTGTTAACAGCAGTAGGGAAGAAACTGTTCCTGAGCCTGCTGGTGCGGGTGAGTAGAAATCTGTATTGCTTGCCTGATGGCAGGGGGGGCAAACAGTTTAAGGCTTGGGGTGAGGGGTACCTGATAATGCCATGCGCTCTCCACAAACAGCGCTTGTGCTGAATGTCTTTGATGACGGGGAGCTGGGCACCAATGGTGCGCTGGGCGGTTTTCATCCCGTCATCCTAGAATCAACAATCAGTTCTTTGGTTTTCTAAGCATTGATAGCCAGGTTGATATCTGCACACCAAGCCACTAGGTGCTTGATCTCTACTCTGTAGGCTGCCTCATCATTCTTCCTGATCAGACCAACTACTGTAGTATCATATGCAAACTTACCGATGATATTAGAGATGTGTACAAGAGTGGGCTAAGCACACAGCCCTGTGGGACACCGGTGTTCAGGGTCACGGTGGAGGAGGTGAGGTTGTCCAACTTGACAGACTGAGGTCAGTTGGTTAGGAAGTCTAGAGTCCAGTTGCAAAGAGAGGTCCCCAAGTTCATGGAGTTTGGTAACCAGCCTAGATGGACTGTATTGAATGCTGAGCTGAAGTCTATAAACAGCATCCTCACATAGGTGTTGGTTTGGTCCAGGTTGATATCTGCACACCAAGCCACTAGGTGCTTGATCTCTACTCTGTAGGCTGCCTCATCATTCTTCCTGATCAGACCAACTACTGTAGTATCATATGCAAACTTACCGATGATATTAGAGATGTGTACAAGAGTGGGCTAAGCACACAGCCCTGTGGGACACCGGTGTTCAGGGTCACGGTGGAGGAGGTGAGGTTGTCCAACTTGACAGACTGAGGTCAGTTGGTTAGGAAGTCTAGAGTCCAGTTGCAAAGAGAGGTCCCCAAGTTCATGGAGTTTGGTAACCAGCCTAGATGGACTGTATTGAATGCTGAGCTGAAGTCTATAAACAGCATCCTCACATAGGTGTTGGTTTGGTCCAGGTGGGTCAGAGCAGAGAGGACAGTGCTGGAGATGACGTCCTCAGTAGAACTGTTAGGGCGATAGGCAAACTGATGTGGGTCCAGAGTTGGAAGGAGGCAGGACTTAAGATGAACCAATACGAGTCTTTCAAATCACTTCATGATTATGGGGATAATCACAACAGGTAAAAAGTAATTTAGGCATGATGCAGTTGACTGCTTCCGCACTGGCACAATGGTTGTGGTTTTGAAGCACGTGAGGACAACCGATAATGATAGTGACAGGTTGAAATGCATCCACCCTGCTGAGTGCACTCCGCGACGGCCAGACTGAAGTGGACAATATCAGGGGAGAGCTCAAATATAATGTCTTTGTCTTAGTTGTCCCTGTTAGAGCAGGCATAAAAGGTGTTTATCTCGTTGGTAATGGAGACATCAGTGGCTACGGTGGTAGGTTGCTTGGGTCGGTAGTCAGTGATGGCTTGAAGGCCCTTCCACATGCGTAGAGGGTCAGAGTTGTTGGGGAAATGCCCCTCGATCCTCATGTGCCTTCAGCAGAAATCATAATGCATGTATTCTTCTTTAGCTTGGCTTGACAAAGAGTTTTCCTACACACTGCCACTGGAGCTCAATCGCACTGATCATTTACAAATATGACAAAGGTTGTCAGAATGTCAGTCTATAATGTTTGGCTAAAATGTTGAACTCATTTGTTGTTTCCCATTCCCAATATAAGAGACCAAAGCACCTGATCAGCCAACACCAGCAACTCAGGCGTTCAAGGGCAAACAACAGACCTTCCAATTGAAGCTCAAATATTGACATCCTTCACTTGACCCATTCCAGTTGTGGTACTGTACAGAGTGTCAAAACCTTTAGCATTAATCAAAAGCAGCTTAGGGAAGTCAGCCATGAAGGTGGAACAAGAATCTAGAAGAGAGATAGAAGGGACATAGTGTTCTGTGTGCTGTACAGTCTGCTAGCGTCTGCTAGCGTTTGCTAGCGTCTGCTGAATTACCATAAAACCCACTTAACCTTTGCATGTGCTACTTGTATCGAGTGGAAAGGAAACTTCAGACTATGATTTGATATGACTACTCTTTACTTTGTGACAAACAACAGCTCCTCTTTTTACGGAATTTGTCAGGATGTCACTTTCTTCAGGTTCTGTACCAAGTTGCAATAAAAACATCTAACTACAATCGTTAGCCCCTCGTTTTAATTCACTGAAATCATTATTATTCCGAAATATTATCCACATTTAAACCTCAATCTGTTCCTGTTTAGACTGTATTTTATCTCTGTATTAATAACATCAGGAGGCATCAGCCAATGAAAGAGGAGGTGGATGACTTCCGTTGCAATAATCACGCTAGAATACAATTTCTCTCAGTTGAGTCCACTAACAATATCTATGATTTTGATTAATATCTAAATTACTGAACCACATGGCTTACTTAAAACATCAAGCCAAAGCTAAATGACAGATACGCAACCACATACTGTAATTAAAGCATCCACGCTGTAATTCTGTTGCTGCAGCTTTGCCAAGATGTATGGTTTTATTTGGAGGCTGCGGTGAAAACCACTAATATATAACAACACCATGGTTTGGACAAGTTTGACAGATTGTAAGAAGTATAACAACATCAACAGATGTAGGAAATCCCTCCAGCTAGCATTGGTTTTTTGTTAGCCAAGTGTTGGGCAAATGAACGATGGGCCAGATATGGACTGCTTCACATCTCTAAGCCTAACAAACCATGTAATTAAGTAAAATCAGCTGTGTGAAGTTCATCTAGGGTTCGTATTTAGCAAACAACTACCATTTGATACTTGTTAAATGTATTTCCTGTTACAGTGCTGTCTCACCTATCTTCAGCTAATGCACTGAACTGAGCTCTGGAGTCCTGAAAAAATGTCCTCTGTGACAAATGTCAAGTATGTTCTTTGAAAAAAAAATCTGTATAAAATGATGCAATTTATTTCCATATAAAATGACATTCGGTGCATCTAGAAACTGTCAGAACTTTACAGAAAGATAACCATCTCTGCACCACACCACCAATCAGGCCTTTATGGTTGGGTGGCCAGACAGAAGCCACTCCTCAGCGAAAGAGAAATAAAAGCCAGCATGGAGTCCTCTAAAAGGCACCAAAGGGCTATTGGACCATGAGATTATCAAATTATCATGCCAAGCGTCAACACTAGAGGAAACCTGGACTTAATAAAACATCTCTGGAGAGACTTGAAGATGTCTGTGCAGTGACGGTACCCATTCAACCTGAATGAGTTTCAGAAGATCTGCAGAGGAGAATTGCCTGGGAGGCTGTAATCATTGCTGAAGGTGCTTCATACTGAGTAAAAGTCTCTGAATTCTTTGATAAATGTGTATTTCCTTTTTTATGAACTTAATAACATTTCTTAAAAATAGCATTTGCTTGGTTATTATGGATAATTGTGTGTAGGTAAACAAGGAAAGCATCTTTATATTAGAAGAAAGAATAAAATCAGAAAAGATTGAAGGGGTCTAAATACTTTTCAGAATGCTACAGTTCATTTTTGATTTTCCTTTTTTCATTCATACAATTGACCACATATTAATATACATTTACATGATGAACACAATTGTCTTAATGCCATCATGATCAAGATTTTTGACTTTCAATCAAATCTATAAATACTACAGCAGTGACTGTGGGCTCTAAGAAACCACTACCTCTGCTATTGCTGGTACACGTTCTGCTACAACTACTACAACTACTGTGATTACATCAGTCACTAACTGCAGCTGCACATCATTGGTCCTGTGGAATTGTACTGCTGTCCACCCTGAGCTTAGGAGTCAAGTGAGGTAATGGCACTCAGTTTAAACATGAATGTGGGGTGAAGACTGATGAAACATTAGTGTCATGTTCACGAGGTGTAGGTGTACACAAAGCTTCCTTGTGTGACTGAATCAAGACATGGGACCTCAGGACACAGGCTCCTGCCCCTATAGGCTGTTCTGGCCTACTTTCTGTACCGTTTCTGACAGTGGCAGGGCCATCAATGATTGGAGTAAGAAAGGAATTGGGTCTGACTGAATTCGCCCTAGATGTTGAGTGTCACTGGAATTGGCATGGGCTTAAAGCAGACACTTGTGTCTAGACTTGACCTCTCAAGGACCAATGCTCTGTATCTAACTGATGTGATTACTCTGTGTTTTTTATTCATTCATTGATGTAGTAGATGCACGTTATTTAGGAGATGCTTTTATCCTCTGTGATTTACAGCAGTGACTGAGCACATTGTGTGGGTCCCCCAAGGGAATTGAACCCCTAACCCTCTTTACAAGTGCCATGCTCTACCAACTGTGCCATGAGGGTGTGTAGCTATGCATTTCCTAAACACTATACTAGTCTATCATAGCTGAAAACAACGAAGTTAACTTATTTTCTCCATGAACATACAATATAAAATACATGCAATTGTTTTAAGATGATCAGACCTCAGGTCGCGGTAAAGCTTTAGGATCTACAGTATGTAGTTTGAAACATGTATATGAAAAAGTATGTGAAATTGGCCTTTACTGTTATGGTGCATAAAGACTCACTAAATATATACTTGTAAATAGAATATTTTTAGGAGGTTAGTTTTGCAGTGCATTTCCAAAATCTGAAAGATTATATTAGCTTATTTTTAGAATGAGGGGTCTTAAATGTAGATGTATACCAACGCTTGTTTGTGACTTAATAGTAAAACACAATTCATTGTGTTCCAGAGACTTACCTGTGTCTACTAATACTGATGTTCCAGAGACTCAACTGTGTCTTGTAATGCTGATGGTCCAGAGACTCAACTGTGCTAGCAATACTGATGTTCCAGAGACTCAACTGTGTCTAGCAATACTGATGTTCCAGAGACTCACCTGTGTCTACTAATACTGATGTTCCAGAGACTCAACTGTGTCTACTAATACTGATGTTCCAGAGACTCACCTGTGTCTAGCAATACTGATGTTCCAGAGACTCACCTGTGTCTACTAATACTGATGTTCCAGAGACTCAACTGTGTCTTATAATGCTGATGTTCCAGAGACTCAACTGTGTCTAGCAATACTTATGTTCCAGAGACACAACTGCGTCTACTGATACTGATGTTCCAGAGACTCAACTGTGTCTACTAATACTGATGTTCCAGAGACTCACCTGTGTCTAGCAATACTGATGATCCAGAGACTCACCTGTGTCTACTAATACTGATGTTCCAGCAACTCATCTGTGTTTACTAATACTGATGTTCCAGAGACTCAACTGTGTTTACTAATACTGATGTTCCAGACACTCAACTGTGTCTTGTAATGTTGATGTTCCAGAGACTCAACTGTGTCTAGCAATACTGATGTTCCAGAGACTCACCTGTGTCTACTAATACTGATGTTCCAGAGACTCAGCTGTGTTTACTAATACTGATGTTCCAGAGACTCAACTGTGTCTAGCAATACTGATGTTCCAGAGACTCAACTGTGTCTACAAATACTGATGTTCCAGAGACTCAACTGTGTTTACTAATACTGATGTTCCAGAGACTCAACTGTGTCTTGTAATACTGATGTTCCAGAGACTCAACTGTGTGATACTGATTAACATGAACACATTTGTACATTTGTATAATTTGTATAACACCTTCAAAGTTGTTAACTTGAAGAAGAGCATGATACTTTTTGTTAGGAGTTATTGCATAGCTTTAATATGAAACCAGAGCCTTCACACTGACACAGTGGCCAGGATAGGATGAAACATTATCACTATTCAAAACCTATCATTTTTTTCATACGTTCCTAGTGACAGATTAAGCCTAGTCCTGGCTTGGCCTCGGGGGATTGTTGTGGGTGGATGTAAGTGACCTTATACGACTATCACACTCTACCTTCAGAATCAGCCAGAACAAGCTAGATACTGACTGAGATTTAATATCAAGAAACGGGGCGTATTCATCTAGAACAGTCTAAACTAAATTCAAATAATGTATTGCAAAATACGGTTCACATTTTTGAGGAACTTTTATTGAAGGGGTGGGCCATAACTGAAATTGAGGGGGGAGCGTAAATGTTTAAATTAATGCCTACCCGATTTTTTTCATGAACTTTGTGCATTTCGTTTGTGTTGCTTCTGTACATGTCTGTTAACAGTTGAGATTCCCAGTGAAAAATGTGACCACCTGTCACGAACGGAGCGGCGTAGTGCGGTGAAAGCCATGTGCAGAGCCAATAGATCCGTTTAACCAGGTTTATTCAAGACAACCTGAACATAAAACAAACCGAGTACGGCGAAAACACACTAAACTGTGAACTTAAATCAAAGATGCGCACATAGCGACTTACACACAAACGTTTAAGAACGACAGCTATATACATACACACACTCACCTCTAAAACACAGTGACATGTAGTAACACACAATGCTAAGCAAGGAGTGACTTGCTAGCGACCCCTTTATATCCCGACATAAAGTGACAGATTACTAACAGCTGTGACCACGTGAAAGAGGAAGTAATCACAGCTAGTGAGAACAAAAACACGGAAGTGGATCACCGAAATGGAAGTGTAGCAACGCCACCACACCAATCGTGACAGTATCCCCCACTAAAAGGCTAGCTCCCCAGATAGCCGAACGAACTAACAAAAACCCTAAGGGAGCAACAAGACAGAACCCACAGTTAAACCCAATGGGTTAGTCCATCAGGACGGGTCCAGTCCTGAATAGGCCACGGTAGCCGACCGCCATCTCGAGCGGCTGAGAGACCGCCAGTTTGAGCGGCTCAGGGTGCGTCGTGGCGGCGGCCATCGTGGGCGACGTGGCTGAGGCCATCGTTGGCGACGTGGCGGAGGCCATCGTGGGCGACGTGGCGGAGGCCATCGTTGGCGACGTGGCGGAGGCCATCGTGAGCGTAGTCGTGGCGGCGGCCATCGTGAGCGTAGTCGTGGCGGCGGCCATCGTGAGCGTAGTCGTGGCGGCGGCCATCGTGAGCGTCGTCGTGGCGGCGGCCATCGTGAGCGTAGTCGTGGCGGCGGCCATCGTGAGCGTAGTCGTGGCGGCGGCCATCGTGAGCGTAGTCGTGGCGGCGGCCATCGTGAGCGTAGTCGTGGCGGCGGCCATCGTGAGCGCAGTCGTGGCGGCGGCCATCGTGAGCGCAGTCGTGGCGGCGGCCATCGTGAGCGCAGCCGTGGCGGCGGCCATCGTGAGCGCAGTCGTGGCGGCGGCCATCGTGAGCGGCGGCCATCGTGGCGGCGTGGCGGCGGCCATCGTGAGCGCAGTCGTGGCGGCGGCCATCGTGGCGCGTCGTGGCGGCGGCCATCGTGGGCGACGTGGCGGAGGCCATCGTGGGCGACGTGGCGGAGGCCATCGTTGGCGACGTGGCGGAGGCCATCGTGAGCGTAGTCGTGGCGGCGGCCATCGTGAGCGTAGTCGTGGCGGCGGCCCTCGTGAGCGTAGTCGTGGCGGCGGCCATCGTGAGCGTCGTCGTGGCGGCGGCCATCGTGAGCGTCGTCGTGGCGGCGGCCATCGTGAGCGTAGTCGTGGCGGCGGCCATCGTGAGCGTAGTCGTGGCGGCGGCCATCGTGAGCGTAGTCGTGGCGGCGGCCATCGTGAGCGCAGTCGTGGCGGCGGCCATCGTGAGCGCAGTCGTGGCGGCGGCCATCGTGAGCGCAGTCGTGGCGGCGGCCATCGTGAGCGCAGTCGTGGCGGCGGCCATCGTGAGCGTAGTCGTGGCGGCGGCCATCGTGAGCGCAGTCGTGGCGGCGGCCATCGTGAGCGCAGTCGTGGCGGCGGCCATCGTGGCGCAGTCGTGGCGGCGGCCATCGTGAGCGCAGTCGTGGCGGCGGCCATCGTGAGCGCAGTCGTGGCGGCGGCCATCGTGAGCGCAGTCGTGGCGGCGGCCATCGTGAGCGCAGTCGTGGCGGCGGCCATCGTGAGCGCAGTCGTGGCGGCGGCCATCGTGCCATCGTGGCGGCGGCCATCGTGGCGTCGTCGTGGCGGCGGCCATCGTGAGCGTCGTCGTGGCGGCGGCCATCGTGAGCGTCGTCGTGGCGGCGGCCATCGTGAGCGTCGTCGTGGCGGCGGCCATCGTGAGCGTCGTCGTGGCGGCGGCCATCGTGAGCGTAGTCGTGGCGGCGGCCATCGTGAGCGTAGTCGTGGCGGCGGCCCTCGTGAGCGTAGTCGTGGCGGCGGCCATCGTGGCGTCGTCGTGGCGGCGGCCATCGTGAGCGCAGTCGTGGCGGCGGCCATCGTGAGCGCAGTCGTGGCGGCGGCCATCGTGGCGCAGTCGTGGCGGCGGCCATCGTGAGCGTAGTCGTGGCGGCGGCCATCGTGAGCGTAGTCGTGGCGGCGGCCATCGTGAGCGTCGTCGTGGCGCGGCCTTCGTGGGCGGCGATGCGGCAGCCATTGTGGACGGCGATGCGGCAGCCATTGTGGGCGGCGATGCGGCAGCCATTGTGGGCGGCGATGCGGCAGCCATTGTGGGCGGCGATGCGGCAGCCATTGTGGGCGGCGATGCGGCAGCCACTGTGGGCGGCGATGCGGCAGCCATTGTGGGCGGCGATGCGGCAGCCATCTTGGGCGCGGGCGTGACGGCGGGGCCATCGTGGACGCTGGCGTGACGGCGGGGGCCATCGTGGGCGCTGGCGTCACGGCGGCAGCCATCTTGGGCGCTGGCGTCACGGCGGCAGCCATCTTGGGCGCTGGCGTGACGACGACGGCAGCCATCTTGAGCGCTGGCGTGACGGCAACAGCCATCTTGGGCGCGGGCGTGACGGCGGGAGCCATCGTGGACGTGGGCGTGACGACGGCAGCCATCTTGGGCGCTGGCGGGACGACGGCAGCCATCTTGGGCGCTGGCGGGACGGCAGGAGCCATCGTGGACGCTGGCGTGACGGCGGCAGCCATCGTGGACGCTGGCGTGACGGCGGCAGCCATCTTGGGCGCTGGCGTGACGACGGCAGCCATCTTGGGCGCTGGCGTGACGACGACGGCAGCCATCTTGAGCGCTGGCGTGACGGCAACAGCCATCTTGGGCGCGGGCGTGACGGCGGGAGCCATCGTGGACGTGGGCGTGACGACGGCAGCCATCTTGGGCGCTGGCGTGACGGCAACAGCCATCTTGGGCGCTGGCGTGACGGCGGGGACCATCGTGGATGCTGGCGTGACGGCGGCAGCCACCTTCGGGGCTGGCGTGACGACGGCACCAGCCATCTTGGACGCTGGCGTAGCGGAGACCATCTCGGGCGCAGGCGTAGCTGAGGCCATCTCGGGCACAGGCGTAGCTGAGGCCATCTCGGACGCAGGCGTGGCGGAGGCGATCTCTGGCGTCAGATCTTGAAAGTCCAGC